GGGGGTGAACATCGCAGGGGTGGCAACTCAACGCGTTTTCTCGGAGAAATTATTTTTCAAATTACACCCCCTCGACCCCCGTAAACTAGCATCTGTATACAAAGGGAGACCCTGGCGCCGAAAGAGACCGCCAGGATGAAGGGATGATGACGGAGGATGAAAATGTAAAACCGTTAAAGGGGTTGAACGGCGGTTCCTACAGTCTGGCACTTGTGCGAAACCAACCCTTATCCTCTATACTCGAGGCAATACAAAGGTCTGACCGTGTCTACGTGTGTTCCAGTGTCGAGCGCAATCAGACTTTGAATACAGAATTAAAAACCACGCGTACCGAACCGGCCCGCTCGGCACTCGCCAGTCCTGAATAGATTCTCCAGCCTCTCACCCTGCGGCGCTGTAATCGCATTAAGGCCAACTCACCGTTGCCGTCGTCGACCTTTCGCCTTTCCCTATAATTTTTCCTAAATCGACGCGATACCCGAAATCACGACAGATCCCATTAAGTCGATCCAACGTGCATTCGACTCACGCGGCTTCGTCGACGCTATGAAAATACGCCAATAGAATTCGCCCCTTTTTCAAGCTAAGTCAAACTTAGCCCTAAATGTCAGAGTAGCCGATTGGCTTGACTTTTCCGTGGGTCGGAAGAGTGAAGTGGGTCGGGGGGTGCGGGGAGAGTAGGGTCGTTCTTGTTATCCCAAATAGATAAGGAAGCCACGGACGTTTCTCTATCTCGCGAGAGGGCGTCGGGACGCCTCGCATCTTTCACGTGAAAAAGTTCCGGTGAGTAGCGCCATTTATAGGGAGGTTAATACTTTCGGGCTTGACTCTCTAGGCGGACGTAACTCTCTCTCTCTCTCTCTCTCTCTCTCTCTCTCTCTCTCTCTCGCTCTCACTCTCTCTCTCTCTCTCCCCGGAACCCCGCTATCTTTTATCGTCTCGTAAAATGGTCGCGCGCCGTTAACTACCGGATAGAAATTTTACGAGACGCTCAAATTCGACACGGCAAACGCCGGGCGTCGCGACGCTATCCGGGAGCAAGTAAACGCCGACATCACCCTCGGAGCCACTATTGTTGTCGTCCTTGTAGGTACACGCAACCCCTATATCCCACCTATCGCCTAGGAGAACAGATAGGCCTCGGATTTTTACGAGGGTAGAAACCCTTAACCGATTGATGGGGTCGGCTGAGGAATGTGCTAAGGGGGTAGTAGCTTTCTTCTGCGATGCAATTGGCAACCGTGAAAAATCATCCCTTCGTGTATCTCAAGATTTCTACAGTCACATTAGACGTTCGTCTGTTATTGTTATTGGCTAGATTTTTTATACAGTCACCTCCCCTCATTTCCCCCCCCCCCTTTTTCTTTTTTGTTTCTCTTCATTTCTTTTACCGACCAATACCGCCGATGTCTTTCCTTCTTATCCCTTACACCTACTTCTGGTTAAGGGTTATACTTTACTGGGTGCGAAGATCTACGATGGCATTTATGGAATGATTCATAGGGGCGGTGAGGGGTGCACTGAAGGGTAAGGGGGTTGGAGTCGCCTAACAAGATATCCCAGTTGGTAAATGAGACTTCTGCCTGAGTGAAAGCGTACACACACCCTTACCAGGTGCGCCGCACCCCCTGAGAGACTGTTTGAATTCACTGTCTGCATTTGCACAGCCGACAAAAAGTGCTTAAGGGTTTACCGAGGTTGGCGTAGCGACGCCCCCGACGCCTCCGACGCCGTCTGCGCGTTACTACGCGTCAGAATGGAAAAACCGGATGATGGGTTAGGGTTGGGGTTTTTTTTTTCAAAAGCATTAATACCTTGATTCAAAATGGCGGACAGCTCATCGCGCCTCGCTTACTCTGGTCTTTTTATTTTTGCCCACAGCACGCTCGTAAGTTAATCGAAAACAGCGGCGCAAAAAATAACTCGTCTCCGACGCGTCGATTCGTAATTAAATTTTTGCGTTCTCGGTAAATCAACTTTTGCGCGACAAAAAGAAAAAAAAAAAAAAAGAGAAAAAACAAGAAACTTTTCTAATCCATATTGATCTCGGACTTGTTGATTGTGTCTTTTTTTTGTTATTTTAGTTGCAGGAACAAAAGGCCGATAATCGCACGGTGAGCCTGATGAACTTTGCTCCGGGCGTCGAGGACGCCGGGAAGAACGTGACCTGCAGGGCGGAAAATCCTAACGTTACAGGATTCTACTTGGAGACCTCATGGACAATCAATGTCGTATGTGAGTAATATCGGGAAGCCAAAACGTATAATAAAAATAAGAATTCGATGCGTCCTGTAATTTTTCGATTTCCACTGAGCGATTTCTACCTCGTGAAATGGCCGATGACGTCAGCCCATAAGACGCATGCGCGTGAAAGTTTACGCTGTCGTACGATAAAGAGACAAAGGGAAGCGCAGCCGCCTTTTATGCACGTGGAAGAACCGAAGGAACGAACGACCGCGTCGAAATTGTCGGGACACGTTTTACTTGCCGTAAAAAAGAAAGAAAAAAAAGGTGAAAAGGAACGCGAGGAGGCCGGGTGACCGTAAAAATTTTTGCCCGAGGATCAAACCGTGAAATTTGGAACGTAACGTCATTCGCGACGGCGTTATAAAGTTCCGTTGGAAAACTGAGGTTATCCCACAGAACCGGCCTGGTATTAAATAGAATGCCATGAAAACCACAGGAATCCCTAACCACCAGGATTCTTGATACCTGCGGCTTATAGTCGGCAGATCGACAGATTTGAGCGTTTGCTATTTTATGAGGGATATTTTTATTTATCACCACCACCGCGCGACGTCCACGTCGCTTCTGTACAGGAAACGACGAAACATTACCACCCACTACCACCCTCCGCGTCCCTTCGTCTAACCTCCATTTTTAGTCATTCTTCCGCGACGCCACGATACCGCAGGATTTTATTGAGCGGCAAAAATTTATCATGAAATTACATTCATACTCGCTCGTAAAGTTTACCCCCCTAAGGTCCCCCCGACTCGACTTCAAAACCCTCGGCCTTGTATTGCCCTAAGAAATTTACTTTAAACGAGTTTTTTCTTCGCTTCGCCTTTTATCGTGTCGTTCGCGCGGAAGCCATTTTAGCCCCGATTACTATCAATATGTCAATGGCTTGAATTCCTACGTGCGGACCTTAGGGGTGGTAGGTACCTTTTTTTTTTAAATCTATCGACAGTCATTCCGGATATGCAATTTGTAAGGAACATCCTCTCGACGATAATTTTAGAGATATAAATATAGCATTGTTCACCTATGGTATAAAAAACTTTATATTCCAAAGTCGAAGACACTCTTAGGTCGTCACTTCCGTCGAATCCCGAGGATCGTTTACGTGAAGTTGGGACTCTGTAAAAGTGCGGAGTACGGGAAATGACGTCACGGCACGTATTCAATTACGCTGACCGTCCTCGTAGATCCATGAAATTACGCCCCTTTGAAACTCGGTACCCTTGGTCCGTCTCCTCAGCCACCTAGATACATACTGGTAGAGTTCACGAAAGGCGTCATCCGGGTCCACGCCCCCCCCGGGTAGCATCCCCCGTCAGTTCCCTGACTGAAGAAACGTAAGAAGCCTCATGAGGGTTGGGGTAGATTACAAGAAGTAGAGAAACCTGTGAAAAGTATATATATGAGAGAAGTACCAGTCTCTTCCAAGATAGCGGAAAAAGTCAGTACGTTGAGAAGTGACGGGAGGTGAAAATACGAATAAAAAATAAAGAAGGCGTACACGTATATAACTGCCAACGCCACCCAAGAGAGTGACGGTTTAGTAGAATTAAAAGCTGAGATACCTTAAGCCGCTATCGTCCTGATGAAATTTCGTGAGACAACCTTAATAAAGCGCTGCGCCACGTGAACTGCTCCGCGCTGCAATGGTGCTAAGGGTAAAAAAATTTTTTAAAAAAGTACACCCGCTATATTTCTTCCTGTCACTTTCCGGAGCAAGTTCACATTTGATGAAGGATCAGCGAGTGTCGCCAAGGACTGGCCAACTTCTCAAGCCAGTGATGGAACTGAGAACGAGTATAAAAAGGACAAAGACAATATCAAGAGACTCGTTAGTCGTGTACAAAGTTTTATATACCTTGGCAGTGCGATCCTTGGAATGTTTCTCAGACACCCGTTACATGACGCGATGCTACGATTTACGGCGACTCCAGATTTTAATTACTTTCCTTGTCGTCTCAACGAAATAAGAATTTTCCTTAGCGAATAATATTTTCCACCGGTCGAGAAGAAAGACTTTCGAGGATAATATCTATGTCCCGTAATATATATCCGGGATAAACTACTGGCAGCCATTGTTGTGCTTGTCACTTTGAGTTGTTTTGCTTTTTCCTCACCGACGTCGCCACCGCTGCTGCCTTCAGACAATAACAGGATATCTTACCGGTGGCTACAACAGTGACAAATGCACTCGTGCTCACCAGTTAGTCATGGAGAAATAGCAGGATTTGTAAATACTCGTCGGTGCTTGTATTTACAGTATCTTACTGGAAGAAAAGTGACGTGGAGAATTCTTTAATAATTCACCATAGTTTCCCAGGTACACAGGTCTCAACAATAACAAATGAGAATTTCCGTTGACAAAGTCAAACACAAAGTGTAGTAAACAATTCGTAGTACCTGTTGACGATTTGAAAATCTTGAAATACGAACTCTAGGAATCGTGTTAACGGCTGGCGCAATGAAAAATATAAATAACAAACCAATATTTTTTTTTTTTCTTTCAGATCCACCAATAGTCTCGTTGCGATTAGGATCCACCCTTAACGCCCAGGACATTAAGGAGGGTGACGACGTATATTTTGAATGTCACATCAAGGCGAATCCACCATGGTCGAAACTCACCTGGATTCATAACGTGAGTAAACGACAACATTAATAATAATTTTGAATTAAAAATGTTTTTTTTTTTTAAGTTAAATGCAAGAAAATTATTATATACCTTCAAAATCGGGATAAACGTATGCCGAGTTAAGTTCAGATTATCCCACTATGGTAGAGTACTACCCCCTTTATCCGGGGTAATGCGCCGTATCAGCCAGATGCTGGAAGTTTAAATCCTTTATTTGCATAATATATGAGCACATGCGCATACGAAATGGTTCCAAAAATCTTGCCACACCTCTCGTCCCCCACTTCTTATCCCTCAAAAATAAGAGGATATGGAAACGAACATCAAGATTCTAATCCCATATAGTATAATTTATTTGCGAAATCATAATAATATTAATTAAGTATTTTATCAGACGTGTAATGAAATTCCTCGTTAATTTGCCAGGGTTATTTACTAGGACGCTATCACGGAATTATTAGGTATCAACCTAGCCAACTCTCACTCTACGATTTCCGCTTCCGGGAATTCAGTCGGATTCCTCACTGCCCCGCCTCTTCTTACCATCCTGGATCAGGATCTTCGCTTCTCTTTCTCTCTCATTCTCTTCTCTCTTACGGTATGCAAGGAACAGCTGCCGCCGCGGTGAGAGATTTGCGACGAAATTGCATCTTAAAAATATGATCCGACTCTCAGCACTGCGCGCCGCTGCACCCGGCGTTTCCTTTGAGACTCTCCAGGCTGGATTCCCGGAACTCGATTTATCCCTCTAACGTCCCGGGAGGACTTGCCTGCCTTAAGGATTCCCAACGAACCGTGCCGGACTACGGGAGTGATTAAATTTCGCCGCGGTCCTACGGACGCAGCCTGGTATTCGTAAAATAAAAATACGTAGATATTTAAACAGCAGCATCGATGATAAAAAAAATGTCACAATGATACAAGCCCGAGGTAAATGCCGAGATCATATAAGACTAAAAATAAAAATTCTTAGTCTCGTACATGAATAAAAAAATCTCTTTGTATCTCTAACCTTCTCTTTGAATTCTTTGTGTCCTTGGTAAGCATCCCCGAAAGGAACACGACTCATTATTAGGGACTGAGCACACACGTCAATTGGCAGTCGTTACGTTCCGCCATTACAAAAAATCCGAACTCTCCCGAACACTTCCGACGATTCCCACGAGGACGGCCGTACTTGCCACAAGTAGCATAACCTATTTGAGAAGCAATCACTTTACCACAGCCACGTTTTCACTATTGCGGATGGATATAGGTAACAGGTTGGTACTCTTATAAAAGGACGTTGGTAGTAACGTTATAAGGCGGAAAACCTTTTTGAACTTTTCATCCGAGAAGGTACACTGCCACTGCTCCACGTCGATTTACGACTCAGTTTTCTTATTTCACCATAGAGCGTGGCGCACTCTGGTGCACTCTCCTTGTACTCTGCTCACGGGATACGAAATATTCAGCAGTTTACGAGGGTCCTTACCCACGTTACCTACGTATACACACACAGCTACCTAAGTCCAAGACGTTGCACGCTTGCCGGGTTTCCACGCGGCGCTGTTCCTGTTACTCGTTTGCATAAATAGAGCGAGAGGGAGAGAGAGAGAATATGACATCTCGTGGTAGAGAATCGAGGCGAATGAGAAAGAGAAGAAGTTATCGTGTGTAATTCAACGATTCTCGCGGAAGACGTATCGACCTCTCGTAAACGAGATTCGATCGAGTATGGTAAAACGAGCCAAACTAGGTTGAAGAGAGTTCTCATGTTTCGCAAGGTTAGTAAAAAAAAAGTCTTTGAGGTTAGAGAAGGTCGGAAGCCAGTGGAAACGTTGAATTCAACCGAGCATAGATCAATCCATTCCAATTTCTAATACCACGTGTTCGCGTTAGAACGTCGGACTCTTAGAACAGACGTGGAAGCCATACGAATAGCTTTGTTCTCTCTTTTTTTTTTTTCTTTCTTATTTTTATACTCACTCTTCTTTCTTGCTCCTCCTCTATTACCTCCTACTGCCACCAGTCCTGCCACCACTAGTTCTTTCGCTACTATTTCTACTTCTTCTCGCCATTTCTCCACGTTCTCCATCAACGGCTCTCGCGCACTACGCCGTTCCTACGTCTATCTCCTTTTTCTTTTTCTTTTCTACCTTTATCCGTTTCTTTTCTCCTGCAAAACGCTATCCTACTCTGCCACGTACATTGCGTCGCAGGAGCCATTGAGACACGCTGTGGAAAAATCTCTAAATTCTTGAGAACCTCGGGACCGTGCCTACCTAACCTAACTACTTTGTACTTGGACATGAAAGAGACTGGCTTCCGGTTGGGGGATCTTTCTTTTCTTTTTTTTCTAGTTGCCGGCTTCTAATATCGTTACGCCTACGGGAAAACGGAGAGGGTAATTATCAGAGAGAAATCTCGAAACATCCGACGGGAGTTTCGCTTCTTTCCGTTCCTTTCTCGAGGAGACTCTTTTTCAATTGGAATTATGAGGCGGAAAAATATGAGAGACGACAAAGACGAGAGGGAAAGACGAGTATGAGCTATCGGAAGTGGATAATGAAATTGTATTGCAATGAGGGATGATCTTTTTGAAATTACATTTACGCGGCGCGGGGGGATAAAATTATATACTTGGTGCTAGAAAAGTTTGAATATTAAAAACGATGAGGGTCTCTGCGGAATGGAAATTAATTTTCTCACGTCTCTCTTCCGTGTCGCTACGATACGTTGAAACAGAACTTTTTTCCACCCTGGAGGGATCATCGACTTTTTACCCCTATGCCCGCGGGCAACCCTCAATGGATGTCAGGCACATAAGAAAGTGTCAGTGGGTGATTCTGTCCGAGTACAAAGGGGGTAGTGAAAGTAGAAGGTGACAAAAAAAAATTGTTTAACGATATAAGGGTGTAACATTATAACGTTATGTAAGTACGTACATGTGTCCAAAGGCGCAAGGGTAGTTCCCGTAGCAGGAACCTGCATCTTAAGCAGCAATACATCATCCCCGAGCAGGACAACCCCGTGTTCCGTAATATAGCGACGGTAAACTTTAGACTCGATTCGATATTTCACGGAAGGATGACGTCAGAAAACAACCCCTAGCTCGAAGGGCGGGCAGACCCAACCACTTGTAGTGGTTGCTGTTTACAAGGATTTTTATCTAATCCCCGTGCAAAGCTGTCGCTCTTGAAGAAAGGCGCTTTTAAAAATGAGACGAAAACCACCCCCTGGAAATTTCTTCAAGGGCTCACCTGACGTCTGCTGTATTTTAGGGCGTGAAAAAGTTTTTTCAATTTTGAAAAAAAAAATCTCATCCATGTTCTTACTCGTGGACATTTTATATCCTGTCACGTTCTACCCCCCCTCCTTACCTAAACACTACTTGCGGATATGCTAATATCGTTTTCAAATTAATTTTTTTCTTCCCTTTACTCTATGGAGAAAATCTTGATATGCATGAACTTTACTGTTTGCCCGGGATAGAATGGGATTGGATCATTTTTCCAGGAAATCTCAGTATCTATTACGCTTCTAGATATTCTCGTATTCCCAATGTAGAAAACCCATATAGACACTTGCAGGAGTTACTTTTCTCAGTCGAATGGAACAAGATATTCCCAACCATAAATCCAAGCGTTTTTCCATACCAGTAATTCCACCAGTGTTTCCTTCTCCCATTTACCTGATCCTCGGGGACAAACTTAATGGCAAGCACACAAAAAAATGTATTTCCGTTCCGACCTACGTTATAACGTATACTGTATCGAAAAAGAAATAATAACAAATTACCAAGAAGGCTTCTGTCGATACTTTAATGTCGATACTAAGAAATTTAATTAGGCTGCTGGTAATTAAATTTTTTTTTTTTCTTCTCAAGTACGACATTCATGCACCAAATAATTATTTTCATTTACTAGGTACAAATTACCGCGCGACAAAAATCGAGCTAGTGTTTAGGACTTTTAGATCCAAAGCGAATTGCGCACAGTCCGTAACTGTGTCGACTGCTACGCCTATGTAAGAAGTTACGAAATTGCATCTAATAACCGTCGTAACTTCGCCGAAGAGTTTGCTACAACTGTATACCGGGTGTCCAAATTCCACGGGTATTATCTTATACTGCCAAGTATCTGTATAGGAGTATACACGTGCAAGAGTAATAAAAATATTCCGTTAACGTGCCGATTGGTAAATACTCATTATCCACAGGTCGTATTAATGGTGTTTAAAGAAAAACGAAGGGTCGCTTTGATAAATTAGAAAAAAAATTGTCCGAGGAAAAAAAAGGGAAAAAATTGAAGCCCGATATAAAGGGGGGTAGTAAATATCGAACAGGGCGTTACCGAGTAAAGTCCTCCCAGGCGGACGTCGATGAACTTGCCGGCGTCTCGTGGCTCGTAAATAAAGGCGTCGGGTTGTCGTCGGTTCTCAATCTACTCGTTAATCGGGTCGTTCCGATGCCTCGCGCGTAATTTTCTCGGTATTAAATTATTTTCCCAAGAGAATTTCCACGATCGTGTCCCAACCCCTACTGTTTTCCTCGGTATACACCTACGTGCCGTAAGGGGTTGTGCGACGTCGTGCGCCGCGACGTCGGTTTCCACAGCAGTACCCCAATAAATTGTACGAGTCGAGCGTACGGCACGTCCCTACGACACATCCGGCATGAAACCGAAAAAGGAGACGCGAAGGAGGAACGACGCCTGGCGTCCCGCGTCGCCCACCACTCGAGTCGACTCTCGAGTGCCTCGCGACCCTCGGCCCCTGTGTTCCAGAGTTCTTCTTTTGAGTCTGGAGTGGCGACCGTGTCGGGAGGCCACGACCCGTTTTAAGGATTTAAGGTCTTAAGGTTTAAGGTACTCCCCCACTCCCCCATCCTTTATCCACGTCAAGTGTCCTCGAGGTTCTGAGCTTTTTTCTTTGTCTTTCCATACCCTTGCCCTATTCGCTTTCTCTGCATTTCTTTTATATATCTATATTGGTGGATGAAGGGAGGTAGGAGAAATTTTGAGTAGTTTCAATACCGGTGGCAAAAATCGCATTTAAAAAAAATCAAATTCCGACGGTTTTTTTTCGAAAACGACTTCGCGTGCCTCGAGATGAATTTTAAGATAGATATCAAAATATTATTTAAGTATTGATTTATTGATTTATAGGTATCGATAGTTTTTTCTTATCATAAGCATTTAAGCCTCGAACTCCGCAGAGATCGGTATGAAAAAAAAGCACTCGGAAAAAAAAGTACGTGTCTCGCGAAATGGCACACGTTGCGTAATCTTAGAAACAAACGAATCCCTAGGTGGAGCTAAATTCTTCCCGAAGGAGCTATAAAGTAAAAGCAGAGACTCCCCACTATGGTAAAGCATACACGGGAGGAAGGAGGCGTGACGTAGACTACTACGACGGACTAGAGAGAGAGAGAAGACGGGGGGAAAGAAGGAAAAGTAAAAGATAAAGCGAAGAAGAAGAGAAAAAAGGAGAAAATCGGGAAAATGGATAGGTTAGAGCGGAGCCAGGGGGGGGGGGAAGGGGGG